CCCTCAAAGATAGACTCCCCTCCTCCAGGAGGAAAATAATCTAATGAACTGGACGTGATCTCAGCCCCTGCATCTGTAAAATGGGTATAATAACAAATCTCCCAGAGTTGCCATTAACAGTTGAAACAGAATAGTAAATGCAAGGCATCTAGCACAGCTCCAGACACAAAGAAATCTTCCCTGGTCACTCTCACAGAGGTAAGAAGCAAATAATAAAAACGGCCATCACACATATTGTACTCACCATGCAGAAGCTGTGCCGCCTTAAGCTACTGTTCATTCAGCACTTACTGGTCGCCAGTGCCCTTTCTAAGGGCTCCATGCAAATTAACTCCCCTAACCCTATGAGTTGCCAATTATTATTATTCCCCACTTTACAGATAAGGAAACTGAGGCTCCAAGTGGTTTAAAAAACGAACTTGCCCAGATTGTAGTGTGTTGGTAGGTAGAGATAATCTCAAAGTTGGGAAATTTCACCCCAAAAGCTCACCATCTGAGCTCCCATTCATCTCCCACCAGCTGAGATGGAACATTATGCTGTGCACAGAAGAGCTGCATGCACTGATCTCCAGCTTGTTTAGGTCTGAGTTAGAACATTCCAGCAACACTTGATTTCCCTCGGGGGAGAGAGAAATGAATTGTTATTTCAGACATCCGTTTAGTGTCTATACTTAGTCTTTCAAATCCTTCAGCAGTGTGAAGTGGGGATGAAAATGAACCCTAAAAAGGACTTTTGATGGCAAAAAGATCAGGAATATTTTCTCGAGTTGGATGTGGAAGGTGGTGGCCCAGGGGGAAGCACAGTTTCAAAGAGGACCTTCTAAAAATACTGCCCATTTACCAGAAAGACACAGACCACACCTCTGCCCTGCCCCCAGATGGCTCCTCAAAAGGAGAAATTGTCTTGCCACCCACGCCTTTCCTCGCCGGGGTGGTGGGGGGCCAAGAGCCATTCAAAAAGGCTGTAGAGTGGGCTGAGGCTTTGGAGATGGGTAGTTGGGTTCAAATCTCAGCTCACTAATCTCTCTGAGCCTGTCTCTTCATCTGAGAAACAGGAATACAAATAGCTGATGTGTAAGTTAGACCAAATGGGATAACGCCTACAAGTCATGTCATTTGGTGCCTGGCACTTGCTGGGCACTGTGAATTCTAGTTCTGCATCTTTGCCACGGATGAAGAGAGGCTGCCATGTGCAGAAACATGCTGAGAGCTGGGAGGAGGTGAGCCTGAGGGATGCGATCCCTGCCCTCAGGGATTGCTGAAGGGCTCTCTCTGCCATGGGATGAACAGGGCCATCTTTTCCCTCCACCCTGCTCTGGCATTGTGGGTTGGAGAAACAATCCAACGAAGGGGCCTTTGAAGCACTTTCTAAGCATCTATAGACATTGGAAACTTGGGTCTGGGGATAGAGGACAGTCCCATGCCAAGATTCAAGTAGATGTTGGTGTGACTGGGAGGCAGCTGTGGCGTTGTGGTGAAACCTAGAGTCATGGGCCTGAGTGTCAGCTTTGACACCCCCTAATGTAATGGGTTTCCTTTGACTGTGGGCTTCCCATGTAGCTGGCACCCCACACAGAACCCCCATTGGCCTTCTGATGATCCTATAGGACAATCGTTTTTTGTTTTTTTTTTGAGATGGTGTCTCATTTTGTCTCCCAGCCTGCAGTGCAGTGGCGCGATCTTGGCTCACTGCAGCCTCTACCTCCCAGGTTCAAGCAATTCTCCTGCCTCAGCCTCCCAAGTAGCTGGAATTACAGGAGCGCACCACCATGCCCGGCTCATTTTGTATTTTTAGTAGAGACAGGATTTCACCATGTTGCCCAGGCTGGTCTCAAACTCCTGACCTCAAGTGATCCACCTGCCTCGGCCTCCCAAAGTGCTGGGCTGCAAGGCGATCTTCATTCTCCAGATCTAATGTTGGGAAAACTGATGCTCAGAGAGGTCAAGTGACTTGGCTAAGGCATCACAGCCAGAATTCAGATGCAAGCTCCTAAACCACGTGACCTTGGACAAGCCATTTCACTGAGGCGTGTGAACCTCCTCCAAGCTCACATGGGCATAACACTCTACCCTGCCTTCTTCCCAGAGCTTTTTGGGAACTCAGCTGTGGGGGATGGAGGCAGAAGTCCATTGTGAGCTGCAAATCCTTGATCACCCAAGAGGAAGTGCTTAAGGTGCAGGCTTCGGTCTTAGGGAAGCAGGAAGTGGGGGGGGCTGAAATGTGTATTGGGGGTTTCTGGGAGTGGATTTCTTCTTGTCCAGGTTGAGCCAGTGATACAGATCTTAGGACCTCTGGTGACTTTTTGCCCAAGCAACTTCTCAGTGGTGGTGATAGGGGGCATGGTCAGAACATCCAAGCTGCCCTGCTGGCTGTGGGGGCCTTTTTTTTTTTTTTGAGACACAGTCTGGCTCTATCACCCAGGCTGGAGTTCAGTGCTGCAATCTCAGTTCACTGCAGCCTCAACCTCCCCAGGCTCAAGCGATCTTCCCACCTCAGCCTCCTGAGTAGCTGGGACAACAGACACACACCACCACACCCAGCTAAGTTTTGTGTTATTTGTAGAGATAGGGTTTCACCATGTTGTCCAGGCTGTCTCAAACTCCTGGAATTTCTACAGATGTGAGCCACCATTCCTGGCCTGTGCGGGCTTTCTTGTTCCTATTAAGTCTGCAGGGTCCCCTTATGCAAAAGAGCAGAAAGCTCAGCTTCACAAAGTTTGACCTCGGAAGAAATGGAAGGGAAAGTGTCCCTTTGTCACTCTCACAGAGGTAAGAAGCAATCTAATAATAATGATGGCCATCACACATACTGTACTCACCATGTAGAAGTTGTGCTACCTTAAAACTCCTGTTCATTCAGCACTTACTGATTGCCAGTCCCCTTTCTAAGGGCTCCATGCAACTTAACTCCCCTAATCCTTGTGAGTTGCCAATTATTATTATCCCCATTTTATGGATAAGGAAACCGAGGCTCTAAGTGGTTTAAAAAATGAACTTGCCTAGGTGGCAGTGTGTTAGTAGGCAGGGGTAGTCTCAAAGTTGGTAAATTTCGCCCCAAAGCTCACAATACTTGCCTTCTTTCCCTTCTCAATGTATTTATCTGACTGTGTGCTTAACCACATGGCAATGTCATCTAGAGTTTGAAGCGGAGCTCATCAATAAGTGGGGTGGGCTAAATGTCTCCAGGCTCCTCCCTGCGGTCCCTCCCACTATCCCCCATCTGTGATACGACCTGTGTCTCTATGCTTGGGCCTAGATAGGACAAGGGTGATCATTTGATTGGGAACATTTTGATTGGGAGGAAAGAGCTCCAGCCTGGGGGGCTTGGCGGGGGGGTGGGGGGAGTGGGGGAGCAGGTGCAGGGGCAGCCACCGACAGTCTACGGGGTCTTGTGCAAGTCATGTCCTTCCCAGGGTCTCAGTCTTGTCATCTGCAGAGTGAAGGAAAGAGGTCAAGCTTGAAGGTCCCTGGCAGACCTGATGCTGTGAGAAAACTGAGTCTGGGTAACTTGCCCAAAGTCCAAAGTCACACAACTCATTCATGGAGTTGCTAGGGCCCATCTGGAGCTCTTGTCACGAGATCACACTGCCTCAAAGAGGAGGCAGAATGCTGCAATGTAGGTTCTCAATAAAGACCACGGGTGGAATGGGAGGCGGGCGGCAGGCAGGAGTTGGGGCAAAGGAGTCTTCTCTTACTGCTGTGAGAGAATAGATTTCATGCCTGTGTCCCTGACCAAGGGGCTGGGAGAAGTGGAGCGTCCCACCCCCCAACCACCTCCCAGCTTTGGCCTCGCTCCAGGAAAAGAGTTGTGGCCCCATCTTTCAGTTCTGCTTCCTCTAGTCACGGCTGGCTGGGACCTCGCTGCAAGCCGGTTATGTTTGGATTCCTGCAGCCCCCACTCAACCGTCATGAACAAGCGGCCCCAGCCAGTGCCCCAGCTTGGACTGGAAAGATCATTCTCTGTGACATACAGGGTCTATGCTGAGCCTCTCCACAGGCAGTGAGAGCTGTGGATGAGTGGAAGAAAATGGGTCTCTGGGCTGGGCGTGGTGGCTCACACCTGTAATCCCAGCACTTTGGGAGGTCAAGGTGGGTGGATCACCTGAGGTCGGGAGTTCGAGACCAGCCTGGCCAACATGGCAAAACCCCGTCTCTACTAAAAATAAAACAATTAGCCAGGCATGGTGCCAGGTGCCTGTAATGCCAGCTACTTGGGAGGTTGAGTCAGGAGAATTGCTTGAACCCGGGAGGCAGAGGTTGCAGTGAGCCAAGATTGCGTCACTGTACTCCAGCCTGGGCGACAGAGTGAGACTCTGTCTCAAAAAAAAAAAAAAGGCAAGGCGAGGAGGCTAATAATAAAAAAAGAAAGAAAGAAAGAAAGAAAGAAAAAACAAAGAAAAAAAAGAAAGAAAATTAGTCTCTGGAATGGGGTGGCGACTTGCGTGTGTGTTTTCTCATGAGTTTACCCTTCAATTTATTCTCTTCTGGGCCCAGAATAGGACAGTAGGAGGCTCCCTCTGGTCCTCCAGCTTCAGGGCCAGCTCTCCTCTTACCTCCTCCAGGAAGCTCCCTCTGTTTCCTTCCAGCCTTCATCTGCATGTCATATGTGGTGGGTTGAAACGTGCCCGCCACAAAATATATGTCCATATCAAATCCCTGGAACCTGTCAGTGTGACTTTATTTGGGAAAAGGGTCTTCGCAGATAGAATTAAGTTAAGGGGCTGGATGCAGTGGCTCACTCCTGTAATCCCAGCACTTTGGGAGGCTGAGATTGGAGGATCACCTGAGGTCAGGAGTTCAAGACCAGCCTGGTCAACATGGCAAAACCCCATTTCTACTAAAAATACAAAAATTAGCTGGTCATGGAGGTGAGCACCTGTAATCCCAGCTACTCAGGAGACTGAGGCAGGAAAATCGCTTGAACCGGGAGGGGTAGGTTGCAGTGAGCTGAGATAGCGCCACTGCACTCTAGCCTGGGAAACAGAGCAAGCCTCAGTCTCAAAAGAAGGAAAAAAAAAAAGAATTAAGGATCTTGAAATGACATCATCCTGGATTATCTAAGTGGGTCCTAAATCCAATGACAAGAGTCTTTATAAGAGAAAGAGGAGACTTGAGACATGAGGAATGGGTGATGTGGCCACAAGACCACAAGTCAAGGATCACCAATAGTTCCCAGCAGCTAGAGGAGGCAAGGAAGCGTTCTCCCCTAGAGCCTCTGGAGAGAGTGTGGCCCTGCTGACACCTTGATTTCAACTTCTGGCCTCCAGAACCATGAGAGAATAAGTGTTATTGTTTTGAGTTACCTGGATGCTGGTATCTTGTTTCAGCAGCCCTGGGAAATGAATATACCATGGAAACATGGACCTGAACCAGGGATCAGGGCAGGGGCCTTGGAGTCACACAGATGAGCCTTCAGCTACGTTTTCCGCAGCAAGAGCTGCATGATCTTGAGGAAGCTGCTTGTCCTCTCTGAGTCTCAAGTTCTTCATCTGCCAATGGAGACAATAATGCTTACTTCCTAGGTTTTAACAGCTTTATTGAGATGTAATTCACATATCATACAATTTGCCCACTTAAAAAGTACAGTTCATGCCTGTAATCCCAGCACTTTGGGAGGCTGAGGAGACAGGCGGATAACTTGAGGTCAGGAGTTTGACAGCAGCCTGGCCAACCTGGTGAAACCCAGTCTCTACTAAATATGCAAAAATTAGCTGGGTGTGGTGGTGGTGGGGTGCCTGTAATCCCAGCTGCTCGGGAGGCTGAGGCAGGAGAATCACTTGAACCTGGGAGGCGGAGGTTGCAGTGAGCCAAAATTGCACCCCTGCACTCCAGCCTGGGTGACAGAGACTCTGTCTTAAAAAAAAAAAAAAAAAAAAGTACAGTTCAATGGTCTTTTGGGAATACACAGAGAGTTGTGCCACCATCTCCCATCCCCACAGTCGATTTTAGAACATTTCATCACCCCCTAAAGAAACTCCATACCCATCAGCAGTTGTTCCCCATTTTCTTCCAAAATCCCTCTCCACTGAGCCCTAGGCAACCACTAATATGCTTTCTTTCTTTAAAAACAAAATTAATGGAGATAGGCTTTTGCTATGTTGCCCAGGCTGGTCTTGAACACCTAGGCACAAGCAATTCTCCTGTCTCAGCCTCCCAAAGTGCTGGGATTTCAGGCATGAGCCACCATGTCCTGCCTCTTCTACTTTCTGTCTCTATGGATTTGCCTGTTCTGGACATTTCAGATAAGTAGAATCATACAATATGTGTCCCTTTGTGTCCAGCTTCTTCACTTAGCATATTTTTTTAAGGTTCATCCATGTTCCAGCATGTATCAATGCTTTCTCCCTTTAATGGCAGAATACTTTATTGTGTAGATAAGCAACATTTTGTTTATCCATTTATTTTTTGATGGATATTTGGGCTGTTTTAACATTTTGGCTATTATGAATTATCCTTTTACGAACATTCACGTACATGTTTTTATGTGGATGTATCTGGTTTTTCTTGTTTTCTTTTGTTTTATTAATACATAATATTATACATATTTATGGGGTACATGTGCGTATTTATTACATGCATAGATTGTATAATGATCATGTCAGGATATTTGAGGTATCCACATCTGGGATTGTCTAAAGATTAAATGAAATAGTGTTAAAAGTATTTAATATGCCCTTCAAACGATGAGGAAATCTTAGAATCTGCTCAGACTCCTTCAGTTTACATATTAGGAAACTGAGGCACAGAAAGGAGCAGAGACTTGCTCAAGTCCACCCAAGGCAGGAGAATATTGCAGTTAAATGCAGGGCCTTCAGTCAGACTGTCTGGGTTCAAATCCTAGTTCCACTCGGACGTGGGTTTCCTTACATAAATCACTTCACCTCTCTGAGCCTCGGTTTTCTCATATGCAAAGTCAGGATAATAATAGTACGTTCCTTACATGGTTGCTAATATGAGTATTAAATGTGACAGCTCATGTGCTTGGCATATAGGAGGTGCTTTATAAATCGTAGCTGTTACCACTCATGGCATTGCCAAATGTGGGACAGGTCTCCTGACTCTCTTGTGTGAGATTGATGGAATATACACCTCCTAGTTCCCTCTTCTACCTCCTGGGTATCTTCTCATATGTTTGTAAGTTCCTTGGAGGAAGGGAATGTGGCTTCCTGTCTCCACCACCCTGAGCATATAAGAGGTGCTGAATGAGCACTTTTATTCACTCCTCGCATCCCCAGCCCTCACCAACTGGGAGTTGTTGTAGGTGTCAATCCTCTGCCTCTTTCCAACACCCTGTGAGGTGACTGAGCATGTCTTCCCTCCCAGGCAGCTCACAGTGTGCCACCATGGAGTTGGGGCCACTAGAAGGCAGCTACCTGGAGCTTCTCAACAGCGATGCTGACCCCCTGTGCCTCTATCACATCTATGACCAGATGGACCTGGCTGGAGAAGAAGAGATTGAGCTCTACTCAGGTGGGCCCTCCTCCCTCTGGTCTCTTCCGGTATCCCCCACCCTTCGGCTTGCTGTAGAGACGGCAATCAAGGGAAATTCTGGCCCCTGTGCTCCCGTCAGCACCACGGACAGCTCCCACGCCTGTGGGACGCTCTCTGCAGATAGGGATGATCTCCCAGCCCCGCCCCGCCTCTCCCTCCTTCCCCACCAGCCCTCTTCCCAGAAATTCCCTGCTTCATCCAAGGGACTTTTCCTCCCAGAACCCGACACGGACACCATCAACTGTGACCAGTTCAGCAGGCTGTTGTGTGACATGGAAGGCGATGAAGAGACCAGGGAGGCTTATGCCAATATCGGTGAGGAAGCACCTGAGCCCAGAAAAGAACAATCAAGGGCAAGGGTTCTTTGCTGTCACTTGTCAATATCACCCATTCATCATGAGCCACGTCAGGCCCCTCCCACAGAAATCATTGCAAGGGTGATGCGGGGCAATGGCTGGAAGAACGGAGACTCCAGGGAAGAGTGGGGAGATGGAGTCCAGTGGGAGAAATAGGTCCCTTCAATAATGACCACCAAGAAAACAAAAATCTCATGTTTACATCCTCCACCTCCATGTCTATACCCATTTCTGCTTCTTGCTCTTCTGTCTATCCTTCCTACAAAGCCCATACCATACACCTCTTTCCCTTTTCCTCCCAGCTCCTTAGCCAAGCTACTCTACTATTTGTAATAACTAGCATTTACTGGATACTCATAGTATGCTCATTGCTGTCCATATGTTATCATCTGGAATCCTTACAACAACAAAGGAAATACATATTGTTAGTTTCTGTCTTTTACAAATGAGGAAATTGAGGTTTAGAGAGGTGAAACGACCTACACAAGTTTTCTTTAGAAGTAGTAGTGTGCAGATCTGAAATTCTAACCTAGGTCTTTCTCATTTCAAAGTCCCCATTTTTAACCACAAAAAAGAAAGTGTGTGGGCTTGGAAGATTTGCTAAGGCTTAAGCAGAGAAGTCAATTTGCAGCTTTAAGAAGAGCTACAGCTTTCAGACAAGGGCAGGACTCTTGGGAAGAGGCGGTGGTGGTGTTGCTGCTAGTGGTTTGTTTCTTCGGAGAGATAAGTGGGATAGAGAATCCCCTCTCATCAGCACCACCACCACCTCATACAGAGCCTCTGTTGAAATAGAAAAAAGTGGTCCTATTCTGGAGGATGCAGCCCCTACTAGGAAGTAACTGCTTGGCTAGCAAAGCGCAAACTGGATTCCTGCCCCCATTTTCCCTGTTGTCCCCTTGTGCAGTGAACAACCTGCAAAACTCTTCTTAGTGGTCCTTTTCCTGGCCACCCAGGATCCGCAGCATTCAGCACTTCTGTGCTTGATCCAAATGTGGCCAATATTTCCCCAGAGCACAATTTATTGAAAATCATACAAAGAAGAAAATGGAGGAGACTAGTAATTGTTCATGTTTCAGAAATTACAGAACTGAGAGCTTGATGGTTTCCTTCCCTTCCTGGGGATTTACATGGTGGAAGCAGAAGTGATTGGGGCTGAGGACATTCACATTTCCTCACAACTGGAGGCAGTCATTAAGGATTTGGGCATGTCGTAGTATTTGTTCCCCCCCCCACCCTTAGGGGCATCTCCACAGGCAGTGGAAGCTGTCTCAGCAAGTAGGTGAGGCAGTGTGTTAGTCCATTTTCTGTTGCTTAAAACAACATACCTGACATTGAGTAATTTATAAAGAAAAAAATTATTTCTTAACAGTTATGGAGGCTGAGAAGTCCAACTTTAGGGGCTGCATCTGGTGAGGGCCTTTTTGCTGGTGAGGACTCTCTGCAGAGTCCCGAGGCAGTGTGGGGCATCACGAGGCAAGAGGTTTTGGTGTGATAGTCTCTCTTCCTCTTCTCATAAAACCACTAGTCTTACTCCCATGACAACCCATCAATTTATTAACCTGTTTATCCACTAATCCATGAACGAATTAACCCATTCATGAGGGAAGAGCCCCAATCACCTCTTAAGGGCCCCAACTCTCAATACTGTCACATAGGGGATTACATTTATACATGAGTTTTGGAGAAGACAAATATTCAAATCATAACAGGCAGCTTCACCCAAGTCTGCTTCTCAAGTCTGTGGGTTTTCTCTCTGCTTCTGGAAGGTGAAGCCCAGGCCTGGGCAAGTATTCTTTTGCAGCACCCTGAAATATGACCTTAGCTTCCAAATGTGTAAAATGGAGATAATATTCACACTCACCATCATGGGATGGTTGTAAGACTGAATAAGTCACAATGTGTAAAGCATTTAGAAAAGGAATTTGCACGGAGTAAGCATTCAATAGATGTTCGGTACTACCCCACAACCACCATCATCATTATTATCACCATCATTATTATCATCTTCATTTTCATCACCTTCATTATGGCCATCATTCCATTCCTCAGCTCAGAAGCCTTCTGTGGCTCCCCCTTGCTTATAAAATCAAGTTCTGACTTTCCCCAGCATGAAACTTCTACCACTGTCACCTATCTCTCAGGGTTTCCTAAACATACTCTGAACATCTTTCCTCACTCTGTCACTATGACCCAGAAAGCTATCTTTTCTCCTTCTCCCAGACTCTGCCCCATCTCTCAAGGCCTGGTTCCAGGATCCCTCCCTCCAGGAAGCCTTCCCAGATTGCCCCATCCCACTATACACTTTTTTTCTCGGACCTCGTGTCATGGTGCCTGTATTCCAAAGGCTCCGAGCCATGTACCCCTTTATATAGTTACCACTATTTATTGAGTGCCTACTGTATACCAGCTACTGTGTTGGATGCTCTAGATGTAGAACCTCTAATTATCACCATCGATCCCTGGGTAATAGGCATTATTTATTCATCTCACACAGATGAGGAAATGGAAGCCCAGAGTGGTTAAGGAGGTAACACGAGATTGCACAGCTAGTAGGGCTAGTGGAGAGTAGAGGTGGAATTTGAACTCAAATCCTGCAGTAACTCTACCATTCTGCCTTGCTCTTCTTTGTAGCAGTAGATAAGTTTTCATGGATACATACCTCATCTTTTCAATTAGATTAAGAGCTCCTGGAGCGTCAGTGTTCATTCATTTGTTTGATCATTCATTCATTCAACAAACATTTCTTGAGCCCCCACTGTGTGCCAGGCCCAGAGGGTCTCTAGCCCAAGGCCTGGCACACAGTAGGCCTTCAGTGAGACCTTGTTGATTGATTGCACTTTTCCTTGTCTGGGCAGCGGAACTGGACCAGTATGTGTTCCAGGACTCCCAGCTGGAGGGCCTGAGCAAAGACATTTTCAGTAAGTTTGTGGGGGTGGTGGGGGGACAGGTCTTGGCTCAGCCTGCATTTCCTGACTTCTTTCTTGGGGGGCACCCTAATACTTGATGCCCATTCATTTATGGGCAGTCAGACCCCTCTCCCCAAGGTGGGGACAATAGAGACTCACCTTGGGCTTCCACTGATTGTGTGAGTTGGTCTCCGGTTTTTCTCAAAGTAGAGCACATAGGACCAGATGAAGTGATCGGTGACAGTATGGAGATGCCAGCAGAAGTTGGGCAGAAAAGTCAGAAAAGACGTGAGTGAGCCCCTTCCTGATCCAACCTACCCTTGCTTGAGACCTGGCCTTTCCTTGACTCCAAAGCCTGCTGTGGCTCCAACTTGCTTCCCTCGCTAAGTCCTGCCTGGCTGGGAGGTGCTTTAAAAGCCGACAGGAGCTTTAAAATGTACATCTGATTATTTCATGGCCCTGATAACCCTCCAATGGCTACAAAATACATGCCACAAAGCCTGCATGGCCCTTCCTCCCTCTCCAAACCCACTATGAGCCACCACACTTCAGCCACCACCAGCTTCTCCACTCCTGTAACTCATGTGCCCTTTCAAGCCTCAGGGACTTGGCATTTGCTATAGTCTCTACCTGGAAGGCTCTTCCCCTAGTTCTTCCCATGGCTGACTCCTTTGAATCTTTCTGGTCTTGGCTAAACCGTCACCTCCTCCTGGAACCCTTCTCTGACCACCCTTCCCTGTAGATTAGCTCAGTTATTCTCACCTTGTGTGTCTTTTTCCTGACAGTTTAGCGCTCATTACCATCTGGACATATTTTATGCCTTGCTCTGCCACTGTGAGCACAGGGACCTCGTCTTTCTTGCTCATGACTGCTTCCTCAGCCTCTAGTGCAGTGCCTGGTATGCAGTAGCAACTCAATAGATAGCTGTTGAATGAAAACACCTGCAAAATGGGTGTAACAGTTAACTGAGTACTTAACTATGGGTCTGACTATGGGTAAGCCCTGTATCTATTTATTTATTTTTAAAACGGGTGAATCGCACACAGGGTATAAGAATTTTAAAAGTGCAAAGAATATTCAGTGAAGGCTGGGCGCGGTGGCTCACGCTTGTAATCCCAGCAGTTTGGGAGACCAAGGGGGGTGGATCACTTGAGGTCAGGAGTTTGACACCTGCCTGGCCAACATGGTGAAACTGCGTCTCTACCAAAAAGTACAAAAATTAGCCGGGTGTGGTGGTGCATGCCTGTAATCCCAGCTACTCAGGAGGCTGAGGCAGGAGAATTGCTTGAACCTGGGAAGCGGAGGTTGCAGTGAGCCAAGATCACGCCACTGCACTCCAGCCTGGATGACAGAGTGAGACTCTGTCTCAAACAACAACAAAAAGAATATTCAGTGAAAAAAAAAAATCTCCCTCCCACTTCTGTTCTATAGTTCTCTCAGTTCTGCTCTCTTAGTCAATCTGTGTGACCAGCTTCCTTCTTGCCTTGTCAAAAATAAAACAAGCTCTTGTATTTGCTTTAATTTTCCATGCAAATGGCCACATTTTATTTACACTATTCTGTACTTTGCTTTCTTCATTTACTATGTCTGGGAGGTCACATTCCATATTATTGAGGGAGAGGACATGGTCCTATCTTCAGCAGTTTCTTTATTTTCTTTGTTTTTCTTCTTTATGTTTTCATTTGATAAATAATTCCCCCCAATATTTTATCACGAAAGTTTTCAGTCAGCCACAGTGGCTCACATCTGTAATCCCAGCACTTTGGGAGGCCAAGGCAAGCAGATCACCTGAGGTCAGGAGTTTGAGACCAGCCTGGCCAGCATAGCGAAACCCCATCTCTACTAAAAATACAAAAATTAGCCAGGCATAGTGGCAAACGCCTGTAATCCCAGCTACTGGGGAGGTGAGGGCAAGATAATCACTTGAACCCAAGAGGCAGAGGTTGCAGTGAGCCAAGATTGCGCCACTGCACTCCAGCCTGGGCAACAGAGCTAGACTCTGTTTCAAAAAAGAAAAAAACGTTTTCAAGATACAGAAAAGGTGAAAGAATGGTACTATGAAGGTCCATATACCCACCATGTACCACTTTGATTCTACAATTAATGTTGGGTTTTATTCATCTTATCACATCTCTATCCATCTGTCCATCCCTCTATCCATCCACCCACTCATTCTTTATATTTTTGGTACATTTCAATGTACATTTCAAATTGCAGATTTACACTTCCCCTTGTGTACTTCAGCATCCTTTATTTTAAGGCCATGTGGTGTTTTCTTGGGTAGATGAATCATAATTTGTTTTTGCTAAGGGATGCATGGGTTTTTAATCTGTTGATGTGAGTGCTTGATACTCACTCACAGATTTCTGGCATACTCCTGCAATGTAGGAACCACCACCCCCATTTCACAGATGTGAGATCAAAGGTTCAGAGAAGCTGCATTGCAAAGGCACACAGCTAGGAAGGGACTCCATAGCAGGTTGCTTTGCTTTGTTCTGTTTTGTTTTTTAGTTCAAACCTGTGTTGTGTCCCCATTTGTGGCTAAGTCTCTTCTGCTGCTGCACTGCCTGGGGTGGTTTGAGATGGGATTTGGGTTCAAGCCAAGGAGCTGGGGATGGAATGGTTAGAGGAAGGGGCAGTAAAGGGATGTGCAAGACCACTTCCCAACCTTGAAGTTAAGGCCATATGGCCTGCTGGAGTCCTGAGCCCCTCCTAGCTTGGGACATCCTCTCCCTGGGGCAGCTGACCACACGTTCTCTCTGCAGCCTTCCCAGAGGAGCTTCCGGCAGACCTGAAGCACTGGAAGCCAGGTGAGCAGGGCAGGTGGGCTGGGGTTGGGAGGGGTGGATACCTTGGGGAGGAGATGGAAGAGATTGAACTCCTGGCCCAAGTCAGTTGGGGATGGTGCATGGTACAGCCCCTGCCCTTCTTTGGGCAAAGCCTGAGAGCTTGGGGCCTCTTAGGGTCCCCTGAAGGGCTCACAACTGTTTGTGGGAGGTGGTACGGCCTTGGAGCTAACAGCCTATTTGTAGGTTCTATTCTGCCCCAGCTCTCCGTGTGGAAGCCCTAGGGTCCTGCTCAGCAAAGCTCTCAGAGCCAAGTCACAGGGAGAGGACTGGGGGGCTGCCTGGCACAGAGCAGTTGCTGATCAACACAGCTGCAGCCAGGGCTGAGAGGATGACAAGCATTTCCTCTGTCAGGAGAGAGATCCACGCCACTCTGGGGCCCTCCCCATCCCAGGAAGGCCCCTCCAAGCACCCAGCCTCTAACACAGCCCCCTTCCTCACAGCTGAGCCCCCAACTGTGGTGACTGGCAGTTTCCTAGTGGGACCAGTGAGCAACTCCTCCACCCTGCCCTGCCTGCCACTGCCTGCTCTGTTCAACCAGGAGCCAGCCTCCGGCCGGATGCGCCTAGAGGAAACCAATCAGATGCCCAGTATGTTAGGGGGCTTGGAGAGGGTGGGCTTTCCCCCTCTTGGGAGGTGGATAAGGAGTTGACACTAAGGCAGGGACTACCAGGAACTGGACCTCCCCTCTCCCCCACCCTATCAGTGTCACTCACCTCTGCCCCAGCCAGTTTCATCCTTGGGGCCCCCATCAGTTCCATCTCTGGCAGACAACATGCCTCGGAAGGAAACACATCCATGCAAGGATTAGGAGGGAATCTCCACCAATTAGGGCATTCACCTGCCAGCCTCATTCATTCATCAGTTCTTCATGGAGCCCCTTCTCTGTGCCAGCTGCTCTGCTAGGTGCTAAGAATGCCATCAGGGCAGGACAGAAACAGCTACTGCTCTTAGGGAAATTAGGGCCCTTTAGGGAAGTCAGACATTAATCAAATAAGCAAAAGCAGAATCACAAACACAGGTGCTATGCAAGATCCCACCTCACTGTCTTTGTCTCTTGCAGTGTCTTCCTCTAGTTCCTCGTTGAGCTGCCTGAATCTCCCTGAGGGACCCGTCCAGTTTGTCCCCACCATCTCCACGCTGCCCCAGGGGCTCTGGCAAATCTCTGGGACTGAAACAGGGGTCTCCAGTATATTCATCTACCATGGTGAGTGCAGGGCCTGGCTCCCCAACCACATCTCCCTCCTACCTGATTACTCCCTGACCTCATCCTCCCCATACTCCACGTACTTGGCAGTGGTGCCCTAGCACCTTCTCATGATCCTCCCTCCCCAGCACAACTTTCTCTGTCCCCATTTCCCAAAAATCAAAGCAGAGGGGCAGAGATTTCTGAGGCGGTCTGGGTGCATGACCAAGAGTGGTTGTATGGCCTTCCATACGTTGCTTTCGCCTTCTGACCCTTAGTTTTTCCTTATTTTTTAAAATGTTTTTGTTTTTAAATTGCAACATCAATACATGTGCATTAATAAGCTAATGATAAGTGATGTTTACAAGAATTCACTGTCTCACTCTTTTAGTATGCTGATGTGAATAGTTTGGTGTGTATCCTTGCATAGCTTTCTCTGATTTATCTTGTTCCCTAATCAGTAAAATGGTCCCTACTGACCCATCACACTGAGGGCTTGTGAATTGTCCCAGGGAAGGTGTGTTTGGGCTTTTAGGAATGAGGCCAGGAGGATGCTTCCACTCAAGTCCAGAGCATCCGTTCAAGGTTGCATGACAGTTTCAGTATAATGCACTGGTATCTCAGAAGCAGAGAAGCAGTTCCTGATATCTAGGAAAATGAGCACTTACCACACAGCAGGAAGAGTGAAATAGTAGTACCTGCCCTAAGCTCCTTATGATCTAATTGCGCCCATTTCACAGATTGGAAAAGCAAGGTTTCAGGAGCTAGATGTAAATCCAGAGCTCTTTCCTCAGCTCTGTCCTGAAATATCTTCCTTTGGAAGTTCTCCTCTCTTCTCTCCAGACTTCGTGAGCTCCACAGCCCGGTTTGGAGTAGGGGTGACCCAAGTGCGTTTCTGGAATAAATACCTGGTTGTTCTCACACCCCTCTCTACCCCCAATGTAGGTGAGGTGCCCCAGGCCAGCCAAGTACCCCCTCCCAGTGGACTCACTGTCCATGGCCTCCCAACATCTCCAGACCGACCAGGATCCACCAGCCCCTTCGCTCCATCAGCCACTGACCTGCCCAGCATGCCTGAACCTGCCCTGATCTCCCGAGCAAACGTGACAGGTAAGAACCCTCAGGACCTGTGAGATGTACTAGAAGCAGGATCAAGGCCCTAGGGAAGGAATTGTCTTGGATAAGATCCACAAGCAAAGCTGCCTGTAGGGACAGCAGGTCATGTTTAGGGGTCAGTCAGGACAGGGAGGGTCTCTGGGGACTGGAGGCATGGTTGTGGGGGAGGGGACAGCCAGAGAATCCACATCCCATCCAAATACAGCCATCAGCCTTCAGCTGCTTGTTACCCAGCAGAAAAGCCAGACAATGTGGCCAGGCCTTTTGAAGCTGAAAACCCTGATTTTTACATAGATATTGTGATTTTTTAATTTTAATTTTATTATTTATTTGTTTATTGTTGAGATGGAGTCTCGCTCTGTTGCCCAGGCTAGAGTGCAGTGGTGCAATCTCAGCTCACTGCAACCTCCACCCTACAGGTTCAAGCGATTCTCCTGCCTCAGCCTCTGGAGCAGCTGGGATTACAGGTGTGCACCACCACACCTGGCTAATTTTTGTAATTTCAGCAGAGACAAGTTTTACCATGTTGGCCAGGCAGGTCTTGAACTCCTGATCTCAAGTGATCCACATGCCTTGGCCTCCCAAAGTGCTAGGATTACAGGCGTGAGCCACTGCACCCCACCTGATATTGTGATTTTTTTTTTTTTAAACATAGGTGAAATTTTTAAAAGTACAGTTGGCCAAAGAAAGACATCTATGAGTTAGATACAGCCTCAGGCCGATAATCTTATAACCTCCAACTTGGGAAACTCAACCCACGAAGGCTGTAAGGACTAAGTGGCTCAGAGGGAGGGGAGTCCCCAGGGGTAACCCTCACCCTAAATCTGGTACCTGCTTCTCCATCTCCAGAGCACAAGACGTCCCCCACCCAATGCCAGGCAGCTGGAGAGGTCTCCAACAAGCTTCCAAAATGGCCTGGTGAGTGGTGCGGGATCTCTGCCCTGGGTGCTGGAGATGGAAGCCCAAATCTGGCTTCACATCACTCATTCACTTGATGTTTATTCAATCCCTTCTTTGTTGGCTCACACACTCATTTATTTATTGATTCATTCATTCATTCATTCACTTATTTGATGATGCCGTCATTTCACCATTCACTCCACCACTCCCTCAAATAATATTTATTGCCCTTCAATAAGCCTGCACTGGGTGTTAACATCTCATTTTCAGGCTGAGAGAATGAATGAGGGGCAAGTGAATGATGGAGTGAGCGAGTGGATGAAGTGAGAAGTTGATGAGGATGGGAGCAATGGAAAGTGGGAATAAACCAGTGAATAGAAGAATTGCTAAATTACAAAATACTTACTCTCACATACTGGTCTAAGCATGTTAGGTATATTAAATCATTAAAGTCTCGCACAATCCCAATATTATCCCCATTTTCCAGATGAGGCTACTGAGGCATGGTGGGATGTATAACATGCTCAGAATTGCTCCAAATGGTAGAGCTGGGATTTGAACCCAGACACGTGGGCTCCACTGTCTTAACTCTTAACACTCCCTCCCATGACCTCCCCACGGTGAGTTGGTAGTGATCAAGAGAAGAAAAAGTTTAGTGAGTAAATGAAAGAATGAGAAAAGGTGGCTGGGCATCGTGGCTTACACCTGTAATCCCAGCACTTTGGGAGGCCAAGGCGGGTGGATCACCTGAGGTCAGGAGTTCGAGACCAGCCCGGCCAACATAGTGAAACCCCGTCTCTATTAAAAATACAAAAATTAGCTATACGTGGTGGTGGGTGCCTGTAATCCCAGCTACTTGGGAGGCCGAGGCAGGAGAATTGCTTAAACCCAGGAGGTGGAGGTTGCCGTGAGCTGAGATTGCGCCACTGCACTCCAGCCTGGGCGATAGAGCAAGATCCATCTCAGAAAAAAAAAGAGAGAGAGAAAAGGTCTAAAAGGAGTGGACAGATAAACAAGAGAAAGGATGAGTGAATGAATGGATGTGGAAATGAGTGAACTAATGAATGAGTGGGTGACTGACTGAAGCAGTTGATGAAGACAGTATGGGGGCCAGATGTGGTGGCTCATACCTATAATTCCAGCACCTTGGGAGGCCAAGGCAGAAGGATTGCTTGAGCCCAGGAGTTCAAGAGCAGCCTGGGCAAAATAGTGAGAACTTAGCTCTACAAAAAACAAAAAAGAAAAATTAGCCAGGCATGGCAGTGGGCACCTTTAGTCCCAGCTACTCAGAAGACTGAGGTGGGAAGATTGCTTGAGCCTGCAAGGTTGAGGCTGCGGTGGGCCATGATTGTGCCATCGCACTCCAGCCTGGGCAACATAGTGAGACCCCATCTCTACAAAAAAATAAAAAAATTATCTGGACATGATGTCACATGTCTGTGGTCCCAGCTACTTGGGAGGTGCAGTTGGGAGGATCGCTTGAGCCCAGGAGTTGAGGCTGCAGTGAGCTATGATCACACCACTGCATTCTAGCCTGGGCAACAAAGCCAGACCCTGTCTCAAAGCAAAACAAAACAAACAAACAAACAAAAACTGTGTGGGGAACAGATGCAAATCATGGTGGCAGTGCTGGCCTTGTGGTGGCTGGCCCTGGCCCTGCCTCTCGCATACCCCTACCCTGACATGCCCCTGGCCTTTGCAGAGTCGGTGGAGCAGTTCTACCGCTCACTGCAGGACACGTATCGGGCGGAGCCTGCAGGCCCCGATGGCATCCTGATGGAGGTGGATCTGGTGCAGGCCAGGCTGGAGAGAAGCAGCAGCAAGAGCCTGGAGCGGGAACTGGCCACCCCGGACTGGGCAGAAAGGCAGCTGGCCCAAGGAGGCCTGGCTGAGGGCCTGCTGGCTGCCAAGGAGCGCCGGAGGCCACGTGAGACACAAGTGATTGCTATGCTGGGCAAAGCTGGTCAGGGCAAGAGCTATTGGGCTGGGGCAGTGAGCCGGGCCTGGGCTTGTGGCCGGCTTCCCCAATACGACTTTGTCTTCTCTGTCCCCTGCCACTGCTTGAACCGTCCGGGGGATGTCTACCGCCTGCAGGACCTGCTCTTCTCCCTGGGCCCACGGCCACTCGTGGCAGCCGATGAAGTTTTCAGCCACATCGTGAAGAGACCTGACCGCGTTCTGCTCATCCTAGACGCCTTTGAGGAGCTGGAAGCGCAAGACGGCTTCCTGCACAGCACATGCGGACCGGCACCAGCCGAACCCTGCTCCCTCCGGGGCCTGCTAGCTGGCCTTTTCCAGAAGAAGCTGCTCCGAGGTTGCACCCTCCTCCTCACAGCCCGGCCCCGGGGTCGCCTGGTCCAGAGCCTGAGCAAGGCGGATGCCCTGTTTGAGCTGTCCGGGTTCTCCATGGAGCAGGCCCAGGCCTATGTGATGCGCTACTTTGAGTGCTCAGGGATGACCGAGCACCAAGACAGAGCCCTGGCGCTCCTCCGGGACCGGCCATTTCTTCTCAGTCACAGCCATAGCCCCACTTTGTGCCGGGCAGTATGCCAGCTCTCAGAGGCCCTACTGGAGCTTGGGGAGGAGGCCGAACTGCCCTCCACACTCACGGGACTCTATGTCGACCTGCTGGGCCGTGCAGCCCTCAATGGCCCCCCGGGGGCCCTGGCAGAGCTGGCCAAGTTGGCCTGGGAGCTAGGCCGCAGACACCAAAGTACCCTACAGGAGGACCAGTTCCCATCTGCAGACGTGAGGACCTGGGCGATGGCCAAAGGCTTAGTGCAACACTCCCCAGGGGCCACAGAGTCCGAGCTGGCCTTCCCCAGCTTCCTCCTGCAATGCTTCCTGGGGGCCCTGTGGCTGGCTCTGAGTGGTGAAATCAAGGACAAGGAGCTCCCGCAGTATCTAGCATTGACCCCAAGGAAGAAGAGGCCCTATGACAACTGGCTGGAGGGCGTGCCACGCTTTCTGACTGGGCTGATCTTCCAGCCTCGCGCCCGCTGCCTGGGAGCCCTAGTCGGGCCATCAGCGACTGCCTTCGCGGACAGGAAGCAGAAGGTGCTAGCAAGGTACTTGAAGCGGCTGCAGCCGGGGACACTGCGGGCGCGGCAGCTGCTGGAGCTGCTGCACTGTGCCCACGAGGCTGAGGAGGCTGGAATTTGGCAGCACGTGGTGCAGGAGCTCCCTGCCCGCCTCTCTTTTCTGGGCACCCGTCTTATGCCTCCCGATGCACATGTATTGGGCAAGGCCTTGGAGGCTGCAGGCCAAGACTTCTCCCTGGACCTCCGCAGCACTGGCATTGACCCCTCTGGATTGGGGAGCCTCGTGGGACTCAGCTGTGTCACCCATTTCAGGTGGGGCGAGGGGCCAGGGGAAGAGGCATCCTTGTGTTGGGCATTAACTGTGGTCTTGGTGCCAAGCCCAGTGCTCTGTGGGGTCTCTTTTAGTACTCAGGGCAGCCGGGTGGGGCAGAATGGATTCTCTCCATTTTTAAGACGAGGATGTTGAGGCTCAGAGAAGTGAGGCTCAGCAAGTGAGAGGCAGTGGCATTCTCCCAATCAATATTTGAAGGCCTACCATGTGCCAGACACCGGGATATGTCTAGAATCTGAGACTGACCTGGGCTCAAATTTGTTTTATTCTTTCCACCCCCTGAGCAAGCCACCGTTTTCTTATGCTAAGAGTAAAGCCATGGCCTTCCCTTGGACTCTCTGCCTCCATTCTCTCCTCTTCCGCTCCATTTTATATTCAGCAACCAGACCAATCTTCTCAGAACTTGAATCTGATTGTATCCCATCCCTGCTTACAATCCTTCAGGGACACTCCACCACCGTCACGATGAAGTCTAAATTCCTCAATTTGGTTTCATTAAGTTGGTCTGCAATCTGCTTGAGCATTTCAGCTTAATTTCCAGAGGATTCCTTCCATATTCCCCCCTAAACATACTTTACCCAAGCTGCAAGGTCCTACATAATTGCGCCAATAATTTGGCAGTGAGCTTCCTTGTAGCTGAAGCAAAAAGTGAAAGAAAACCACCGTGCGAGTTGTGAGAAAGTAGGAATCAACAAAGACTGGAGTGGTCATGGAAGGCTTTCTGGGAAAGGTAGAGGTTGAGCTAAGGAAAGAAAGTATTTTAATAGGTAGGAGGACCCTTCATGGAGCTGCCCTTCCACTAAGGTCTAGCCTGGTCGCCGTGCCTGGGTCTGAGGCCCTCCCTCCACAGGGCTGCCTTGAGCGACACGGTGGCGCTGTGGGAGTCCCTGCGGCAGCATGGGGAGACTGAGCTACTTCAGGCAGCAGAGGAGAAGTTCACCATTGAACCTTTCAAAGCCAAGTCCCTGAAGGATGTGGAAGACCTGGGAAAGCTTGTGCAGACTCAGAGGTGAGGGGAGAGGTGGATGGGAGGTGGTTCACACCATGCAGGTTGAGGACGTGTAGGACGCATTCTCAAGTTTGTCATGGGCATTTGCAGTGCCCCCTGTCCTCTGGGACACCCCATGCCCTCTTTCTGGGCATTGGCCCGCCAGAGTCTCTCACTGCACTCACTGCCCAGGCGGAGCCTCCAGAATTGAAAACTTTGCTGCATTCAAAACCTGCTATCATGTGTCCAAGTCTTAGGTAAAGCCATGGAGAACCTCTCCCCTTCTAAGAGTTCACAAAGATGCCTTGTGCATCTAGTAACAGAAGTGACACCCACTGCCACCCTTTGAGGTATTTAGGACAACTGTTGTCCCGAATTCATAGATGGCAGAGCTAAGGTCCAGAAGGCAGACAAAACTGGATTACAGAACAAGTAAACTGTCTTTCATTCATTCCTTCATCACATGTTTGAGCACCTCTTAAGTGCTGTCTGGGATAGGTACTGGTAAGTGCCTAATCTGAGGCTCATTTCCATGAAAGATACAGTCCTGAGATCTTTTATTTTTATTTTTATTATTTCCTAGAGACAGGGTCTTGCTCTGTTTACCAGACTAGAGTACAGCAGTGCAATCATAGCTTAGTGCACCTTCGGAACTCCTGAGCTCAAGCGATCCTCCTGCCTCAGCCTCCCGAGTAGCTGGGATTATAGGTGCACGTCATCACAGCAGATGATTTTTTAAGTTTTTGTAGACACAGGGATCTTGCTATGTTGCCCAGGCTGGTCTTGAACTCTTGGCCTCAAGCGATCCTCCTGCCTCAGCTTCCCAAAGTGCTGGGACTACAGTCATGAGGCACCGCATCCAGACAGATCTTTTTCTTTAAGAGGGGGACAGCAATTGCCCCAAGGAAAGCAATCCCCCTGGGGAATTTGGGGCACTGGGGCAGCCATCATGGACCCATGGGTAAGGGCTCAGCAACAACAATGCCTGCTCTCCCTAACATTGCCTGTTCTCTCCAGGACAAGAAGTTCCTCGGACGACACAGCTGGGGAACTCCCTGCAGTTCGGGACCTAAAGAAACTGGAGTTTGCGTAAGCAAAGGGATGGATTGTCTCATGAGTCTGCGCAAGATTTCCCCTGAAGCGTTAGCTGGGCTTGTACCATATGAATCGAGATGGATCTCCAGGGTCATTCTTACCCTCTTGCCCACCACTTTGGAAACAGCTTCCAGCAGCTGGAAAGTGGCCAGTCTGGGCAAATGCTGGAGGTTCTTGGATTTGAAGCTAATGGACCCATTTGCTGGTTAACATGGTCATTCCCATCACTCATTCAACAGACGTATTGAGCACTTGAATGACTGAGGCTGCTGTCCTCAATGAGCTGACAGTCTAATCAACTCCCCTCTGGAGGAGGATAGGGGGACTTCCTGGAGGAGGTGATATCTGCATTGAAGCTTCAGTGAGGATAAGGAATGAGCTGAGTGGGGAGAGGGGAGTAAGAAAGGCTTTCCTGGAATTGTAATTTGGCCAGGGATCAGAAAAGGCCCAGTGTGTCCCCAACCTTCTGCAGGAGGATGCCACTGACTATAGAGTTCTTTTCCCTCCTGTGGCCAGGAACTGCACAACGTCTCCTGTGCCTGAGTTTGTTTACTTCCACAACCAAGGGATGGCCTCCCTGGGGAGAATCTTTCCCCCAGTTTCAAGTATTCCCAGGAGCTTTTGAAGTGCAGCTAGGATGAAAAAGCAACCCTGCTTGCCTGGGACTATCCTGTTTGGGGAACTGAAAGTCTTGCATCCCAAGAAGTCCCTCAGTCCCAGGCAAACTGGGACAGTTGGTCACTCTATGTGCGGCCAGGGCTGGGGGCCAACATCCTAGACAGTGCTGCTGGGGTGACAGAAATGGAGACCTAGGCAGGGCTCTAGGGAGTCCAGTTGTATCTGGGTCACTGAGGAGGGGCAGACCACCACACAAGGGCCCCAAGAAAGCACAATAATTATTATATTTCGATCTGTCAGAACATAGCTTCTTTCTTTCTTTCTTTCTTTCTTTCTTTCTTTCTTTCTTTCTTTCTTTCTTTCTTTCTCTCTTTCTTTCCTTTTCCCTTCATTTCCTTTCCTCCCTTCCTTCCTTACTTCCTGCCTTCCATCTTTCCTTCCTTCCTTGCCTCCCTCCCTCCTTTCCCCCCTCTCTTTTTTCTTCCTTCCTTCCTTCCTTCCTTCCCTCCTTCCTTCCTTTCTTTCTTCCTTTCTTCCTTTCTTCTTTTCTTCCTTTCTTCCTTTCTTTCCTTTTTGTTTTTCTTTTCTTCCTTCCCTTCCCTTTCCTTCTTTTCTTTTCTTTTCTTTTCTTTTCTTTCCTTGTCTTTTCTTTCTTGAGGCAGAGTCTTACTCTGTCCCTCAGGCTGGAGGGCAGTGGCGCAGTCACAGCTCACCACAGCCTCAACCTCCCTGGGCTCAAGTGATCCTCCCACCTCAGCCTCCCTAGTAACTGGGACTATAGGCATGCCCCACCATGCCTGGCTAATTTTTGTATTTTTTGTAGAGAGAGGGTTTCACCATGTTGCCCAGACTGGTCTCGAACTCCTGGGGTCAAGCAATCCTCCTACCTCAGCCTCCCAAAGCGCTAGGATTACAGGTGTGAGCCCCCGCACCTGGCCAGAACAGGCTTTTAAATTTGCAACTCACCCTCCATCTCAATTATCTCAGGCGACCCTCCTCTAGAGGCATTATCATCATCCCCCATTGTACAAATGGCAACATTGAGAACGAGAGACTTTACGTGGTTTATCCAAGGTCATAAAAGTCAGGTCAGCCTGGCCCTAAGTTCCTTCCACAGAAAAAGCTAAATGAATGTTTGTTCCTTGGTAGGGGTCTAGATCATCTAATGATTAGGAAGGAATTGTTAAATGCCTGTGGTATATTCAGTGCTTTTTTTTTTTTTTTTTTTTTGGAGATGGGGTCTTGCTCTGTCGCCCAGGCTAGAATGCAGTGGTGTGATCTCGGCTCACTGCAATCTCCACCTCCTGGTTGAAGCAATTCTCCTGCCTCAGCCTCCTGAGTAGCTGGGATTACAGGTGCCCGCCACCATCATGCCTGGCTCATTTTTGTATTTTTAGTAGAGACGGGCTTTCACCATACTGGCCGGCCTTCCAAACTGCTGGGGTTACAGGCATGAACCACCACGCCTGGCCTGTCATTCAGTGCATTTTATATATAGTCTCATTAATCTCACAAGCTACTGTGGGAGACAGATAATCATCATCTTCCCCATTTTACAGATGAGGAGACTGAGGCCTGGTGAGGTCAAGTGACTTGCCCATGGTCCCCCAGCTGGTCACCCACAAGCTGTCAGCTCTCCCTGATCACTGCTCCCCTGTGCCCCAGAAAAAAGCCAGCGTCTCTTGTTTTGAACAGAGACAAGGTGCTAAAATTGTCCAGAGGTAAAAATGATGCTGAAAAGGGGAAATGTCTGAAAACAATAACTGAGGGCCCTTTCTGGTTTAAATTATTTTCAACGGAAAAAGCCCCTAGTTCAAGATCAGAACTGCACTCTGGGGAACAGCGGCCATGGGGTGGAACAGCCTAGGGCCCGGTGACCAGCCACCTGGAGCCCGGAATCCCCTGAGGAGGTTCTGAGGGAGGAAGGAAGGAAGGAAGACTATTTCTGGCATTTTCTCTCACTTCTACTGTGCCTGGCACCCTGTAGACCTCATTTGTCTGTCAAATCAGGGTGCTCAACCTCTCAAAACCCTACAGAGACTCCACCTGTACACAAAGTCCTTCCCCAATTCAGTCCCCACTCACCTGTTCACCCTTACCTCCTACATTTGCTTGGTGCTCTCTCCATTCCAGCCACAGGGCCTCCTTGCCGGCTTTCACCCTCCTAGGCATGCTTCTGCCTCCAGGTCTTTACACCAGCTGTGCCCTCTGCCTGGAACGGTTCTCCCCAGATATCTGCATGGCTCACACCTTCACCTCCTCTGGTTTTTAGTCAGTGAGGCCTTTTCTTGCTTTTTCTTTTCTTTTTCCTTTCTTTTCTTTTCCTTTCCTTTCTTTTCTTTTCTTTCCTCTCTCCCTCCCTCCCTCCCTTCTTTCCTTCCTCCCTCCCTCCCTCCCTTCTTTCCTTCCTTCCTTCCTTCCTTCCTTCCTTCCTTCCTTCCTTCCTTCCTTCCTTCCTTCCTTCCTTCCTTCCTTCCTTCTCTCTCTCTCCCTTCTTTCCTTCCTTTCCTTCCTTCCCTTCCTTCCCTTCCTTCCTTCCTTCTTTTTTTTTTTTTTTTTGACGGAGTCTCACTCTGTCACCCAGGCTGGAGTACAGTAGCACAATCTTGACTCACTGCAACCTCCGCCTCCCAAGTTCAAGTGATTCTCCTGCCTCAGCCTCCCGAGTAGCTGGGACTACAGGCGCCTGCCACCACGCCCGGCTAATATTTTGTATTTTTGGTAGAAACGGTATTTTACTATGTTGGCCAGGATGGTCTCAATCTCCTGACCTTGTGATCCCCCCTGCCTTGGCCTCCCAAAGTGCTGGGATTACAGGCATGAGTCACCACGCCCGGCCTCAGTGAGGCCTTTTCTGACCCTCACAGTTAAAAATAAAACTCCGGCCAGGTGTTTTATTTTTGGCTTATGCCTGTAATCCCAGCACTTTGGGAGGCCGAGACGGGTGGATCACAAGGCCAGAAGTTCGAGACCAGCCTGACCAACATAGTGAAACACCGTCTCTACTAAAAATACAAAAAAAAAAAAAAAAAAAAAAAAAAAAAAAAAATTAGCTAGGCATGGTGGCAGGCACCTGTAGTCACAGCTACTTGGGAGGCTGAGGCAGGAGAATCACTTGAAACCAGGAGGCAGAGGTTGCAGTGAGCTGAGATTGCGCCACTGCACTCCAGCCTGGGCGACAAAGTGAGACCCTATCTCAAAAATAAATAAATAAATAAAACTCCATCCCCCTCACAGTTAAAAATAAAACTCCATCCCCCTCACCACTGAGACAATGAATCACATTGTTTCAGACATCAGCTTGCTTTCCAATTTCTTTGATTATCTGTCTGTCTTCCCCACTGGAATGTCAGCACCCAGAAGGCAGAGATTTTCATCTGTTTGGCCCACAACATTCCCCCCGGTCCTGGCACATAATAGGCAAGCGGTCAATATTTAACAATGAATTCCTTAATCCAAGAACCCCATAAGATTGGGGTGAAATATTTGAGGAGACCGAGACTCAGGGGTGAAGGGATTTGCCAAGACCCTTATCAGGGAGGCAAATGTCAGATCCTGAAGTCAAACCCTGATCCTGTGGCCTTTTGCTGAGGCCAGTGGTCCTCAGACTTCAGGATTTCAGAGGCCGAGAACATTTCAGAACGAATTTGAGTGACCGTGTGCGGTTACTGTTTTAAAATTTTTATCAAGGATGCTCATTCAGACAAACGAATAACAAAATACCCACTGCTGGCACCATAATTTTACCAAAGAATGATCATTTTAATATTGAAAAAGTTCAAAGGACATAATTGCAGAATAAAAGACAGCTCTTTATATGGAATGCATTTAACCATATTTTTAAACTAAACGGCCCTTCATTGTCCTTATTTTTCTCATCTCCTTGAAGTCTGGTCTAAATGTTGATCCGGGCTGTGTGACCCTCTGCGAGCTATTTGATCTCCCAGTGCCTCAGTTTCCCTATATGTGAAATGGAGGTAAGAAGAGCCCGTAGCTCAGAGTCTTGAGGAGTAAATGAGATCTAGGCTGAGGGAAGGGCGTAGCATGTCCCTGGCTTATAATAAATGCTCAACAAATGGTTCCTTTTGTTATTAAAATGCAAACATATGTTAGTCAACCGCCTGGTTTACCATTGGCGGTGGTCCTCAGCTGGCATTTGAGGACTCCTTCCCCAGGCTGGGGAGGGAGAAGGGTATCCGTGGATGTTGGGAAGAGTAAGAACTGGCTCCCTACTTAGAGAGAAAAGCTGGGGAGCCCCAAGCTGAGAGTTCAACTTACCTCTTTTTCTTTTTTTTTTTTTTGGGGGGACAGGGTCTCACTCTTACCCAGGCTGGAATGCAGTGGTGTGATCATGGCTCACTGCATCCTTCCCCTCCTGGGCTCAAGCGATCCTTCTAAGAAGCTGGGACCACAGGACACACCACCACACTCGGCTAATTATTGTATTTTTTGTAGAGACAGAGTCTCGTTATGTTGCCCAAGCTGGTCTCTAACTCCTGGGCTCAAGCGGTCCTCTTACCTTGGCCTCCCAAAATGCTGGGATTACAGACATGAACCACTGTTCGCTGTCTCAGCTGGCCTGTTGTGGGGGGCTGTGAAATCTACCCCAAGCAGAAAAGATTGGGGTCCTATGTGGAAGGGTTGCAGGGACCTAAGAGGCTGTGGTGGAAGGGAAGAGGAGGGGCCTCAGACAGGACCTGACTTCTGTGCCTTGTCTCTACCCACCCTGGGGCTGAATGAGTGGCTGTGACTGTGACTGGAGGTCTTACCCTTGCTCTTTGCCTCCTAGGCTGGGCCCCATCTCAGGCCCCCAGGCTTTCCCCAAACTGGTGCGGATCCTCACGGCCTTTTCCTCCCTGCAGCATCTGGAGTGAGTATAGACTCTGGGACCCCTTCCTCTCAACATCTGGATGCAGTGCTGTGATCATAGCTCACTGCAGCCTCGAAATCCTGGGCTCAGTCCTCCTGCCTCAGCCTCCTGAGTAGCTGGGACCACAGGTGCATGCTACAGTGTCCAGCAACCTCTGGGTTTTGACAATCCCAAATCCTGCCCCCAAGGCACATGCAGAGAGAAAAGCCCTCACTTTGTCCCATTTTTTTCTCTCTTCCGCCTACTGCATCCTCAGCGTAGCTGGCACATGAGTGATGCGATGACTCCACAGCAGATGGGAATCCCCAAAATAAAAAAGTTGTAGATCCTTTTGTGACCTTTGAAACTCTTTTCCTCACAACCTCATTTGCTGCTCTCAGCAATTCAGCTGGGGAGGGGTTGGGGAGCATAGTCCTACTTTACGATGGAGGTTAAGGAAGTTGCAAAGCCTCAGCGGGTTCCTAAGAAACTAAACAGGGATTCGAGTCCATCACAAGTTACTTTGTCCCCTGGCTGGCTGGTTAGAGCCTCCAGGTGATGAAGTCCTTGTCTGAAAAGCTCAGGAGTATGCTGGCTGCCTATGGTGTATTAGAGCTGGGAGGCGGGAAGGGCAGGTGCCAGGGCTGAGGAGGCCCACACTGGGATGGGAAGGGTCAGATGGCCCCCTGGACGCTAGCTGATGGCCCCCATCTGATTCCACCTGCAGCCTGGATGCGCTGAGTGAGAACAAGATCGGGGACGAGGGTGTCTCGCAGCTCTCAGCCACCTTCCCCCAGCTGAAGTCCCTGGAAACTCTCAAGTGAGTGAGCTGGGCCTGCCCTTCCTGCTGAATCTGGCCCCCAAAGTCCAGCTGACTTTTTAAAAATTAATTTAAATTTGTTTTTTTAGACAAGGGCTCGCTCTGTCACCCAGGCTGGAATATAGTGGTATGATCATAGCTCTACAGCCTTGAACTCCTGGCCTCAAGGAATCCTCTCACCTTAGGTTCCCAAAGTGCTGGGATTATAGGTGTGAGCTACCATGCACAGCCCCAGTGGATTCATCCATTAATTCATTCATTCACTCACTCACCTATTCAATCAGCCATTCATCCTTCCATTCAATGATTCATTCATTCACTCACTCACCTATTCAACCAGCCATTCATCCTTCCATTCAATGATTCATTCATTCACTCATTCAGTCATTTCTTTACTCACTCATCCAACCCCTCACTCAATCATTTCTTTATTTAATTACCCAACCATTTATCAATTTACAAATACTTAAGGAGGACCTACTATGTGCAGACACTTTTCTAGGCCCTGCCCTGGAGACCCAGCTTGAAACAGAACAAATAAATCCCCTGACCTCAGGAATCTTAAATTCTAGTGAGGAGACATAATGAACAAGCAAACAAGTCAGTAATTATGAAGTGTACAGCAGTGAAAATAATGTTCGGTGACAGAAAATTATACTGGGGGTGAAATAGGAGAGACAGATTAGCATTTATGAATAAAGCATTATTATCAAAACAGTAAAACTTTTTAAAAACTGTTCTGGGCTCTGGGAAGTTGGAGATGGATAAGATACAGGAGGATCAATGTGATTTTTTCTCTTTTTTTTGGACAAGGTCTCGCTCTCTCACCCAAGGTGGAATGCAGTGGTGTAATTATAGCTCACTGCAGTCTCAATCTCCTAGGCTCAAACAATCCTCCCACCTCAGCCTTCTGAGTAGCTGGGACAGGTGCATACCATCACATCCGGCTAATTTTTGTATTTTTTTGAAGAGACATGGTTTTGCCACGTTGCCCAGGCTGGTCTTGAACTTCTGAGCTCAAGCCATCCTGCCTCTGCCTCCCAAAGTACTGGGATTGCAGGCATGAGTCACCGTGCCTGGTTCAATGTGATTTTTTTTTTTTTTTCTGTGATGTAGTCTTGCTGTGTAGCCCAGGCTGGAGTGTAGTGGTACGATCTCAGTTTATTGCAAACTTCACTTCCTGGGTTCAAGCAATTCTCCCACCTTAACCTCCCAAGTAGCTGGAATTATAGGCATACACCACCACACCCAACTAATTTTTGTATTTTTAGTAGAGATGAGGTTTCACCAGGTTGGCCAGACTGGTCTTGAACTCCTGACCTCAAGTGATCCGCCTGCTTCAGCCTCTCAAAGTGCTGGGATTACAGGCATGAGCCACCATGCCCAGTTCAACATGATTTTTTACTGAACCTAGAGGATATCAAAATCTTTCCACACTCCCCATCACTATCAAGGTCTTGGGATGGCCAAAGAATTTACCGGAATTTCCTTAGCAATTTCCTTAATTGTAGGACCCTGGGACTTCTCCAGTAATTTCTAGTATCCTAGGTAACACTGTAAGCTAGATTTCTTCTCCTTAGTCCTTCCCTCCCTCCCTTTCTTACCTGCCACCCCACTTAAGTATTTATTGAGCACCTACTATGTGCCTGGCAGTGCTTTAGGCACAGGGATACAGTAAAGAGCAAAACAGACACAGCCCTGCTCCATATGAAGCCCACAACCCAGCAGAAAGGATTACACAGCCATTAAACAAATAATGCCAACACTTATTTCACTATAGTGCTGAAAAGTGGCCCAGAGGGAAAAGAGGGGATCTTGTAGAATCATAGGACAGGTGGGGGCAGGAGGGTGCGCTCTCCCTCCCATCCACCTCCTCACTCCTGCCCTCCACTTGGCCACAGGACCTAACACTATCCTCTTATTTTCCGAGAGGTAGCTTAAGTCTGTCGACAGCGCCATTCACAGCCTATGACCCACAACTTTCCTTGAGGTCAAAGGGAGGCGTGCAAGTTTGGTCCTGAGCCCTCCCCCTCACTGTGTCCCCGCAGCCTGTCCCAAAACAGCATCACTGATCTGGGTGCCTACAAACTTGCCGAGGGCCTGCCTTCACTCGCTGCATCCCTGCTCAGGCTAAGGTAAGTGGGGTCCCGGCTACTGGTCAGGTGCCGAGCTGGGGGGCTGAGGAGCACAGGGAACCCACGTCATGCTGGCGGCAGGGGACACTGAGACCCTAGAAGCAATTACCACAGCTCTGAACAAAAGGATCAGCCGGACCTGGGGAAAGAAGCGGTGGGCAAGCCACTTATTCATTCCTAGCCCCTGTTTTCTTACCTGGAAAATGGGAACCATCTAAATGGTCTATGTAAGTACTTGGCACAATATTGGTCCTTTTCCCCCCAGGAATGGCCGGACCAGGCTTTTTCTGGAACCTAGGGGTAGTGGCTTCTGGAAGGCTAACCAGCACAGGCAGCTTTTGCCCGGGCCTTGTCACTCACATGCCGGTCAGTGCTTTCACTGCCACCTTCTGGTAGGCCTTGGCATAGCACCTCTTGCTTTTGAGTGACTTCCAGCCAGGCCCTGGAGTGGTCCCAGAGATAATGAGAGTACTGAGCTTGGACCAGAGCCCCAGTCAACCAACTTAGCATTACCAGCTCTTCTCACTCGCCAGACTGGAAGAAACTTCTCTTCTCTTCGCCAGAGCTCTGCACTTACTGAGGACAGAGTCAGATTCCCAGGAAAGATGGCATTTGGTCCCTTATTATTTGTTTAATTTTTAATTTTTTAATTTTTTTTTTTTTGAGATGGAGTCTTGCTCTGTCACCCAGGCTGGAGTGAAGTGGCATGATCTCAGCTCACTGCAACCTCTGCCCCCCAGGTTCAAGCGATTCTCCTGCCTCAGTGTTCCTAGTAGCTGGGATTATAGGTGGCCACCACCACGCCCAGCTAGTTTTTATATTTTTAGTAGAGATGGGGTTTCACCATGTTGGCCAGGCTGGTCTCAAACTCCTGATCTCAGGTGATCCACCCGCCTTGGCCTCCCAAAGTGAGTGCTAGGATTACAGGCATGAGCCATTATGCCCGGCCACTTTATTTATTTATTTATTTATTTACTTACTTACTTACTTATTTGGAGATGGGGTCTCACCCAGGTTGGAGTGCAGTGGTGCAATGATGGCTCACTACAACCTCAACTGCCTAGACTCAAGCGAACCTCCCACCTCAGCCTCCCAAGTAGCTGGGTCCTGTACCCTCCTGAGCCTTGTTAGTTTCTTCCCAGCATGAATCACTGTTGTACAATATTTTATTTGTGTAGGTGCTTACTTCTTGCTATGCAAAGAAAGTCAAAAGCGAAAATAGAATCTGTCTGGTTCACAGTTGTGCTAAAAACTAGAGATACAAGCATGAACCAGAGAGATGTGGTTCTTGCTTTTGAGTTTCTTTGCATAGTAAGAATTGAGCACATACATAAATAAAATATTGTAAAACAGTGATTCATGCTGGGAAGGAAACTGACAAGGCCCAGGAGGGTACAGGACCTCTGGGGAGATGATTCTTCTGTGGGAAGCTCTAGGGGAAAAGGACTCTAGGAAGAAAGAACAGCAGGTGCAAAGGTCCTAAGTGGGAAAAGGGGCTGGGTTTTGAGGGTCAGAAGGGCCACTGTGGCTGTGTGTAGTGAATGAGGGATAGAGGCTGGGCAATGGTGGAAGTAGGGGAGGTCAGGGGAATCCAGGTCACACATGGACGCCCTTGTGGGTCACAAGAAGCATTTGCAGTTTTTTCAGTGTGAATGGAAAAGCAGGTGGGCCTGTGAAGGTGACTCTTGATCTGATTTACACTTTCGTTCCTTTTTTTTTTTTTCTTTTTCTCTCTCTTTTTTTTTTTTTTTTTTTTTTGAGACCAAGTCTCGCTCTATCACCCAGGCTAAGGTGCAGTGGCATGATCTCGGCTCACTGCAAGCTCTGCCTCCTGGGTTCAAGTGATTCTCATGCCTCAGCCTCCTGAGTAGCTGGGATTACAGATGCCCGCCACCACACCAGGCTATGTTTGTGTTTTCAGTAGAGACAGGGTTTCGCCATGTGGCCCAAACTGGTCTTGAAATTCTGAGCCCAAGCGATCCACCCACCTCAGTCTCCCAAAGTGCTGGGATTACGGGTGTGACCCACCATGCCCGGACTGATTTACACTTTAAGAAACATCATATTTTATGGAATCTAAGAGGCCATCCATTGTAAGACCCCAACATTAGGCCAAAATGCAAACTGTGACATGCTATTGGTTATAAGACACATCCTGATCTCAGTGACATTCAAATGGTGACATACATGTCTTGGCATCGATGAAATAAGGTCAGATTACTCTCCCTGTGGGGTGGAGGAAGGGTATCCAGGGTTCAGAGATTGCAACACCCCCATCTAGTTTCTGCACTGGCAGCGGCTGACCTGTGATATGAGTTGATTTAGCCTGAATCCACTTGGCAGCAGTGTAAATCCGCTGCTTTTTTTTTTTTTTTTTTTCTTTTTTCAAGCCAGAGTTTCGCTCTTGTTGCCCAGGCTGGAGTGCAATGGCGTGCTCTCAGTTCACTGCAACCTCTGCCTCCCAGATTCAAGCAATTCTCCTGCCTCAGCCTCCCGAGTAGCTGGGATTACAGGCATGTGCCACCATGCTCAGCTAATTTTGTATTTTTATTAAAGATGGGGTTTCGCCATGTTGGTCAGGCTGGTCTCGAACTCCTGACCTTAGGTGATCCACCCACCTCGGCCTCCCAAAGTGCTGGGATTATAGGCGTGAGCCACTGCACCTGCTGCTTTTATATGCAGCCCTGCAAGGAAGCTCTGAGGCTGAATCATGGCAAAGTCATGGCCCTGAAATCATACCCGCAGCAGCACCTGGCCTGTTAAAAGCCTGCTTGGTGTTGAGTAAACAGCCGAAGTTGGCATCAATGACACTCATCATGCTATTTTCACTGCTACTAATGCTGGTTGTGAATATGCCACAGAAACTCGAGCTGGCCCCGTAACTGGCTTTTTCTCTTCCTGCCCCCAGTGCTGGTCATGCCGTCTACATTGACTCATGTGACCCTCACCAATGTTCCTGTGAGGTAGTCAGAACCATAGCTAACATTTAGTTTATTCTAGGCACCAAGGCATATTCTAAATGTTATGCCAGCATTGATTCATTTACTCCTCCCCACAATGACTCAATCATGCCCATTTCACAGATGGACAAACTGAGTCTCAGAAGAGTTGAGTAGCTTGCCCAAGGTCACATAGGCAGTAAGAGGCATAGCTGGGATTTGAACTTGGGAAGTCGTTCTCCTGGGAGTTTCCACACAGTAAGGCAAGAAATGACTTCCTTTTAGTCCTGCTGTTTTCCTGGGCTCACTGTTTGACCACAGAGAAATGGCCTCAACTCTCTGGGCCTTGGTTTGCCTGTCTTTAAAATGGGGCAGTAATCCCAGTAGGCGGTGACTCCCATGGGGCTGACCTCCAGGCTGCAGGGGACACTGAGACCCTAGAAGCAATCACCACAGCCCTGGACAAAAAGACTAGTGGGACCTGGGGAAAGAAACTCTGGGCAAGTCACTTATTCATTCCTAGCCTCTATTTTCATATCTGGAAAATGGGAACCATTCTAATGGTCTATGTAAGTACTTGGCACAATGCCAGGCTCTGTTATGCAATAAATATTAGTCCCTTCCCTCAGGGATGGTGGGACCAGGCTTTTTCTGGAACCTAGGGGTGGTGGCTTCTGGAAGGCTGACCATGTATGGGCCTCCAATCCCTTCCCTTCTGTTTCTGACAGCTTGTACAATAATTGCATCTGCGACATGGGAGCCGAGAGCCTGGCTCGTGTGCTTCCGGACATGGTGTCCCTCCGGGTGATGGAGTGAGTGTGGGAGTCTGGGCGGTGGGTGGCTCAGCCCGGGGTGGGGGACACTGAGGGTCTCTCCCTGGGTGTCCTGGAAGGGCTGGGTGCGGGGGTGGCCTTGGTCTGGAGCTGGGGAGTCCCAAGGGTCAGACCCCAAGTGAGTTTCTCTTGCCAGCGTTCAGTACAACAAGTTCACGGCTGCCGGGGCCCAGCAGCTCGCTGCCAGCCTTCGGAAGTGTCCTCACGTGGAGACGCTGGCGTAAGTCCAGGCAAACCTGGTGGGTGGAGAACAACTCACTCCCCAGGCATGTGGCCCAGTGTCACCCCAGAGCTCAAATCATGCTCTTCCCTTCACCCATCTGCAACCCTGGGTGAGCAGACACTGCCCCCTCTGGCCCCAGCTTCTTCATCTGTAAAGTGGGGATGGTCATAATATCCACCCAAGAGGTTTTGTGAGGCTTAAACTAATCAAGCCCTACAAAGCTCTTATAACAACGGTAGCTGGCACACAAAAATGCTCAATAAATGCTATATTAGGCCGAACCATATGAAATTGCTGACATCCACCCATTTTTGACCTGTAAAATTGGCAATTTCATGTGGTTCAAGTTTATCTTTTATTAAGTCACCATGATGTCCAATAGTGGTTACTTTATATTCTTTCAAAGCACTTTTATCTCCACAATCACTCGTATCTTCTAAGACACACAGGGTGGGTCTTACGAGACCCATTTTACAGATGAGGAAAATAAAGCACAGAGCAGTTAACTAAACTTCTGGGGTCACACAGCAAGTCAGTTGCAGAACCATAAAGGAATCTCGGGCCTCCTAGGCTTCTACTTTTCCCCATGACCCACATTGGTCTGTATCTTGCCAGGGGAAAAGTACCCAAGGTTCTAGGCTGGGTGGAAGGAGGGATTTGGAGGCAGCTGTCATTAGAGCCCCAGACCGCCTTCTCTCCTCTAACCTGTCTCTGTGTCCCTTTCCCCCTTGCAGGATGTGGACGCCCACCATCCCATTCAGTGTCCAGGAACACCTGCAACAACAGGATTCACGGATCAGCCTGAGATGATCCCAGCTGTGCTCTGGACAGGGTAACCAGGGTGGGCTTGGGAGGGGAGAGCCACAGGGGGTTGGGGGCAGTGTCCTTGTGAACGTGGCGTTCATAAAACGCGGGTGGGACACAGGTGGGGCTGGGCCACCAGCCTTGGACGATCACATCATCAGAGACATCCCCCCATCTCCACCCTGGGCTCGGTGGAGCTGTCATCCAGGCTTTGCGAGCTTGATCCCTGTAGTCAGGCTTAGAGACCAGGGGACAGGAAAGTTGGCCATCCACATTCCCCAGCCTCAGTGCTTAGAAGAGCTTCCTTTGGGGACTCCAAGCCTTCCCAGCTGCTGTTTTGGCTTGGTGGCTGCCCTGATGCTCCGGGTTTGTCTTCAGATGAACTTGCTTGACAAGTTTCCTCCCCCTCACTATGAAGATTGCTGTCCCCCACCGCTGTGCTCCCCACACTGGGCTGCACATCCGCCTCCATTCCCACTGCCCCTCCCATTCCCCATCTTGATAGCACCCTTCCCAGGTGTCAAGTTGCCCCTCCTAGAGTGTCCAACCCCCTCTCCTGTCTCCTCCCCCTACAGCACGTTCTCTGAGAACACCGATCACGCTGGACCTTGAACTGGGTACTTGTGGACACAGCTCTTCTCCAGGCTGCATCCCATGAGCCTCAGCATCCTGGCACCCGGCCCCTGCTGGTTCAGGGTTGGCCCCTGCCTGGCTGCGGAATGAACCACGTCTTGCTCTGCTGACAGACACAGACCCGGCTCCAGGCTTCTTCAACGTCCAGTTGGATGGTTGCCTGGTGGCAGCTGCAGTCCACGCAGGAGCCCTGAGGCCTTCCCTGCAGGACATTGCGGACGGCCACGGCCAGGCCAGAGAGAGTGACGGAGGCAGCCCCATTCTGCTTGCCCAGGGCCCTGCCACCCTGGGGAGAAAGTACTTCTTTTTTTAATTTTTAGACAGAGTCTCACTGTTGCCCAGGCTGGAGTGCAGTGGTACGATCTGGGCTCACTAAAACCTCTGCCTCTTGGGTTCGAGCAATTCTCCTGCTTCAGCCTCCGGAGTAGCTGGGACTACAGGCACCTACCATCACGTCTGGTTAATTTTTTTTTATTTTTAGTAGAGACAGGGTTTTGCCATGTTGGTCAGGCTGGTCTCAAACTCTTGACTTCAGGTGATCCGCCCACTTCAGCCTCCCAGAGTGGTGGGATTACAGGCGTGAACCACCGCACCCAGCCACAGAGAAAGTACTTCTCCACCCTGCTCTCCGACCAGACACTTTGATAGGGCACACCGGGCACTCAGAAGACACTGATGGGCAACCTCCAGCCTACTAATTCCCCAGATTGCAACAGGCTGGGCTTCTGTGGCAGCTGCTTTTGTCTGTGGGACTCAATGTACTGACTTTGTTTGGCCAAGGCCAAAGCTAGGCCTGGCCAGATGCACCGGCCCTTAGCAGGGAAACAGCTAATGGGACACTAATGGGGTGGTGAGAGGGGAACAGACTGGAAGCACAGCTTCATTTCCTGGGTCTTTTTTCACTACATTATAAATGTCTCTTTAATGTCACAGGCAGGTCCAGGGTTTGAGTTCATACCCTGTTACCATTTTGGGGTACCCACTGCTCTGGTTATCTAATACATAACAAGCCACTCCAAAACATAGTGGCTTAAAACAACACACATATTTATTCTGCTCACACATCTGTCATTTGAGCAGGGCTCAGCGGGGACAGCTCCTTCTGTTCTACTCTGTGTCAGGTGGGGCAGCTTGAGGGCTGGGCTGGGGTCACCTGAAGACTCGTTCTCCTGTATGTCTAGCAGGCAATGCTGTTGTTGACTGGGGGCCTCGTTTCCACTTAGGAACGGTTGGCTGGGACCCCTCCATGTGGGCTAGTTGGGCTTCCTCATAGCATGGTGGCTAGGTTGGAGGGTATCCCAAAAAGAGAGAGAAAGAGAGAGGAGGGGAGAGAGAGAGACCACTTTTCATAATCTAGCCTTAGAAGTCACACAGTATTACTTCTGCACATATATATATTTTTAAGAGGTAGGGTCTTGCTCTGTCGCCCAGTCTGGAATGCAGTGGTATGATCACGGCTCACTGCAGCCTCAACCTCCTGGGCTTAAGTGATCCTCCCACCTCAGCCTCCCGAATAGCTGGGACTACAGGTGTGAGTCACCAAGCCCAGCTAATTTTTATTTTTATTTTTGTAGAGCCAGGGTCTCACTGTGTTGCCCAGGCAGGTCTTGAACTCCTGGCCTCAAGTGATTCTCCTGCCTCAGCCTCCCAAAGTGCTGGGATTATAGATGTGAACCACCACACCCGGCCCACTTCTGCCATATTTTGTTGGCCAGTGTGACACGGGTTGCTGCTCTCCTACCCACCCTCCTTTCACCACATGTCGCATGTACATGTGTGCACGTACACACACACACACTCACACACACACACTCTCACACCAGAGCCCACCTTGACTCAAGTCCTCTTTTCTGAGAGGATTTTTCTTTGTGGCTTCCTAAAATTCAGTGGAAAATTCATTGCTTGGGGATGAGAAAGGTTGAAGCACCAAAAGCTGTACCAAGGGGAATGTTTGCCTCTGCCTCTGACATACAGCTCTGTCCTGGGAGTGAGCTGGTTTTTAGCAGAGATGGAGTCCCACCTTGGCTGCAGTGAGCCCGAAAGGGACTTGGCAGCTCCGCTTTCTACCCAGCGAGCTGCCAGCACGACTGTTGCTTTCCACTGGGGCATAGTCTGCCCAGAAGCCCCAATTCAAGACAGCTTAGCTTACTCCTGGTGGCAATGGGAGCTGCCTGTTCAGCCCCAGCTCACCAGCCCCAGTGCCCACAGGATCAGCCTGGTTCCCAAGCTCTGCTCCTCTCCCCAGCAAGTGAGAGGTGGGTGTCAAGAGAGTCTGAGGGATCCAGACCCGGCTACGTGAATCTTAACTTTGCTTTATTCATTCTACAAATACATACTGAGTGCACAGTCATGAATAAGATGTTCCTGCCCTGGTGAGTCTCATATTTTAGCAAATTAAAAAAACTCTTTGGACAGGGCTGCCAGGTGAGGTTGGCCAGTCTGTACACTGCACAAAGGCACCTGGTCAAGGGGGAACATGGGGGCTGCAAACCAGTCTGGGTTCTGCTTGCCAAGCTGGCAGTGCTGGTGTGGAGCCTTTTAACCCAGAGGGGCATGTTTTTGTAGTTAACACACAGTCATCATAAGTGTGGATAAATCACTGTCTCCATGTCACAGATCTAAGTGATACTTACAGTCACACTCTTATAAGGGAATGGACTTCTGACTTCTTTGGAGGACCTATCTGCAGGGACAGGCACAGTGTGCTGGAAGTGCCCCGAACCCCATGTCAGGTGGTAGAGCAGTGCTCAGAGGAATCAGGGCATGATGGTGCAATTCCACGTCCAGTGGATTGTAAATCTGTGCACCTTCCAAATGGTCATTTTTCCTCTCAGGCCTCTCTCTGCAGGCAAATGCCTCCCTCCTCACGCTCATCTTTTTCCTTGGGCCTCTCAAATGTCTTCTTTTCAGATTTCGTAGCTTTTCTTTCTTTAGCATTGCATGGGGGCAAGTGGCGCTACAACTGTCTTTCCCCAGAGTTCTGCTGCCTCTACTCTCCCACACCTCAGTTTCCTCACCTGTAGAAGGGGGTTAATCATTTGTACCCTGCTTCACTCGGTGTGTATGTGAAGGTGCTTTGAAGTCAAGTGCTCTGCAAACTGGAGAGAATTACTGCTAGTATTCCGTGAAACTGCAAGTTGACCGAATTCCACTCATTCATTTAATCCTTCCAATTTTTTTTTTTTTTTTTTTTTTTTTGGACAGAGTCTTGCTCTGTTGCCCAGGCTGGAGTGCAGTGGCACGATCTCAGCTCATTGCAACCTCTGCCTCCCTGGGTTCAAGCAATTCTCCTGCCTCAGCCTCCCGAGTAGTTGGGAACTATAGGTGTGCACCACTACACCTGGCTAATTTTTTGTATTTTTAGTAGAGGTGGGGTTTCACCATGTTGGCCAGGCTGGTCTTGAACTCCTGACCTCAAGTGATCTGCCCGCATTGGCCTCCCAAAGTGCTGGGATTACAGGTATGAGCTACCGTGCCAAGGCCTTTCCCCATATCTTTAATGAAGGTCTACCACGTGCCTGGCAAAGGATACCCACTGCCATCTCTATAGGATTCAGGCCTGGTTTCTAGTTTGGCCTTCAGGCTTTTCCCACCACACCCCAAATGCTGTCCCTGGCTTGTAGAGTGGGGCAGAGGGCCAGCCTGGGACTCTCACACCAGCCCGACTGGGGCAGACTCTCTGAACCCCCCTGGATCTCCAACTTGGGAGACCCTTATCTTCTGCTATTTGTCAACCACAAGGTTCTGCCTAGAACTCCTTTCCCGAATCTCAAAGTTAAAAAAAAAAAAAACAAAACGCAGGGCCCCAGGGGTTGGAGTTGCATACATTTTTTTAATCCAAAGAAGTCAGCCTCCTAAGTATTGCTTAAACAGGTTTATCAGAATTAAGTAGGCACAACACTCATACTGTCAGAAAAGCCTTTCCAGCCAGGGGAGTCATGTGGCCCTCCCCAGCATGATGTCTCTTTTGCCAACTTGCTGAAGAACGAGTAACCTGAAATGAAGAAGCCAGAATCCCACCCTCAGCCCCCGACAGCTTCCTCAGCTTTTTCTTCTGAGTCACTCCCTGCAACAGCCGCTGCATCTAAGACCAGCCTCGGGCTAAACCCAGCTGGCCTGAAGGCTCAACTCACATCACATGGAGCTGGGAGTTGCTTTTGCGTGTGTCCGCAGTTTGAAGTGTCCTCTCTGAAGGTGAAGTGGGGGAAGCAGGTGCGCTCCGGGGTGAAGTGCGGGGAGGCAAACTCTGGCTGGGTTCCTGTAAACTTCCATCGCAGCTGCAAATAATCAGAAGCCAAGACCAGGCCATCGGTGTGACGCTGCGGGCAGATGAGGTCGTGGGACGCCCCTTGAGTTCCCACTTCTGTGGGAGCAGGTGCCTTCCCAACCTCAGCTCTCAGTCCCAATCTCTTTTCTACTCTCCTGGGTCCAAACAGGAACCTCTCTGTTGGCACGAAGCTTTTGAGGGGAGCAGGCCTAACAAGAAGGAAAAAGGGGGGTTACTAGCATGGAAGCCCCACCCTGCCACCATGTTGGCTGGGGACAGGGACGAATCCATGAGGCTCAGGAGGTTTGGGGTGGGGCAGGGAAGTCTTCCTCCATCCTTTGAATTTGGGGAACCACTGGGAGCCCCAGACTCAGGCTGAAAATGTCTTTCTGCAATTTTTATTAAAACTCTTTTTAATGAATTTGCCTCATTTCTCAGAGGCCCTGGGCTGGAGAACCAGCACACTGTTGCACGGGAGAGGAAAGATTGTCCTGTTTATTGGGAGGGAGGAGAGGGACGCTGGTGCAGTCTGCTCAGGAGTCACCCAGGGTCTGAGGGCTGACTTGCCGCTCTGGGCCAGCTGAGCCAGCGCTGGGTAGTGGGCAGGGCTTGGCAACACCTCCCACCTTGCCCGGAAAAATGCTTTGCAACCTACAGGAAGGCACTGGCCACAGCCAAGTCACTGAGCAGCCCCACTTGGCTCCCTCTCTCAGGACGCAGCACCATCTCCAAGGCCTGGCCCCCCTGGCAAGTCCCCGTTTCCCACTGCCTTCTCTATGTGCCCAGCTGGGTGCCAGTGTCTCTGCAGCACCTCATGTTCCCATGCCCAACCCCTCTGCAGCCCCCTCGAGCCCTGCTCTGATTCCAAGCCTCATGTGCCAGCTCAGACTATCCCTTCCGCAAACTTCACTGAACATCTCGCAGAACTTGTATGTTAAACATGTGACATGTATTGGTGTTTGACAGGGTGCTATTGACATTTGGGGTAGGACAATTCTTGGATGTGGAGTGGCTGTTCTGGGCACTGAGTATTTAGCAGCATCCCTGGCTCCAGGCCACTCAGTGCCAGTAGCATCCCTGGTCACTGTAACAACTAAAAATGCCCTCCTACCCTATTTCCAAGGTTGACCTAAGGGGGCGGAACTGTTTCCATTGAGACTCATGCATCATATAGGATAAGAAACGGAGGTTCTTATCATTGTATAGGATATGAAACTGAGGTTCAGAGAAGCCAAGTAACCTGCCTAAAGATGCACAGCTATGAGAGGCAAAGCTGGCACTGGCTTGGTAATAGCGAAGGAAACAGTCTGAATGAGAGCAGCTACCATTTCCTGAGCTCTTAGCAGAGGCTGAGGACCCTGCTAAGTGCCATGAGACCTTAGCAGAGACTGTGGGTGCCTTGCCCCATTCCCTCCACTCACTCTTCCTTGCAGGTCAACCTGCCCTTCTTTGCTGAGGCCTTTCTCTGCCTCCAGAGCCTGCTTGGCCCCCAGGCTGTAAGTGCAGGCAGAGCTAATGTCTCCCCATAGCTGCCCTCCACCAGGCTGCTCCTGAGACACCTGCTGGCCAGGAGCCCGGAGCAGAATCCTTTACTCAGATTCAGCCGCACAGATGCTCGCTGCAGAGATCTCCAAGGCCTGCGGTCATCCTTGAGCCCATCTCAGATTTGTGTGGACGGGGTGTTAAGAGAACATGGAATCAGCTGGAGAGAGTGGTTCATGCATGTAATCCCAGCACTTCGGGAGGCTGGGGTGGGAGGATCACTTGAGGACAGGAATTTGAGA